CTTGGAGGATTTCGGTCGTGTCATGATAAAATTTACTTGATCTCCCTCTGGTCTGTAATATTCCTATGATCCCCCCTTCCTTTTTTATGAGGGTCTCAATGGGGTTAGCCGTCAACCATCAAATGGCCAAAATATTAACCGTCAACCGTCAGTAATTAAACGCAATCTTTTTACTGTCAACCATCAAATAAGCAAGCCAATGCTAGCCGTCAAATGTCTTAGATATCCGTAACTAAGAACTGGACGATTGCCTTATAATTGGGGTCGGGTTCTGTTGTTTATTTATAAAAGTTTTGATATATCACAAAAATACTTTTATGTAAGTCATTTAACTTGTAGTCACGAGTAAACCTGGTCATCGATAGAAGTGACTTCCGGTGTGGAAACACTTCCAGTGTCGTAAAACGTTTGTCATTTATTAATAAAAGGTGTTATGAATTAACAGTTCTTTACAAGCGCGTCATAAGGAAAAAATTTTTATAAATGACATTCTAAAAAAGTTAACCGTCAACCGTCAAAAGGGCTTATTTTTAATCATAAATCCGGCATCAATGGAACCCCCCGTCTTTTGAAGACCCTCTTTTGTTGCCAGTTGATCGACGGTCAGTTTTCTATATGTTCCTCCCCTCCCTTTATACTCTGTTGGCGACGACTGTTCCCCGCCGAGCTCTCCCTGAAACCGTATGATGCCTCCGCCATAAATAATGATACGGTTATCTAGGGTAGGCACCCCACATAGGTCTGAATGTCCCATTCGTGCCCATCCCTTTTGAGCTTTAAATTTTTTTATGTTTGTATATCTTCGTTTTGATCTTGCCCAATACAGCTTGACATAACATAACAATGACTGATTTCTAAGCATATAATTTTCACCAGCTTTGTTCCTTACTAACTGTTTGTCATGGTCCAAAGCTAGAAATGCACGCAACAACGTACTTTAACTCTTGAACTCCCACAAGCGACCTCACAAAATCAATACAATATCAAGCACACAAGTGATGAGAATAAAAAATAAATAAATTAGGGATTTTTATTTGATCCAATAACAAATTCTCCTCTCTTGTAGAGTTGTAGACTAGATCTTGGCAGTGAAAAAGTAATGGCCTAAAACAGTTTGGATGTATGTTGTAACATTTGCATTTTGCGGTTTGAATTTCATTGTCTGTCGACTGCAGTCATCTGGATGAGTGTTTCTGATCCTTTTGTATGGGTGCATTTACGTGTAATTATTGGACAGATCGCGTGACCTGATAGACAACACCTCAGTTCTCAAAGCATGACATCTAACCATTGCCCTTAACACTGTATCGACGGACGCTAACCGATGCATCTTTATAAATTTTGTAAAGAGCAACTCATTACTTAATAAGTAGAAAATTAGTTTGGAGCCAGAAGCACGGGTGAGACAGAAGATTTAGAGAAAAACCTTTTATTTGAGGCATTCGATGAAGAATAACAACCGAGGGGTTTCGTTCGAGTGAGTAATGCTATGAGTTGAATTGAAATCCATTTCTTTCAACAGCTGTTGGCTGAATCGATTTCAAGCTTTGTGCAACTAACGGATTGTGTCTATATCAGGAGCGAATCTGAAAGCCAAAGGTAGGAAGAATGCAGTTCAGAAACCAGTGTGCAATATATATATCTTATTAACCAAGTGCGAGGGCCGTACTGGCAGAATATCAGCCCGAGGTCTTGACAGTACGGACCGAGCGCAGCGAGGTCCGTACAAAAAAGACCGAGGGCCGATATTCTTCCAGTACGGTCCCGAGCAAGCTTGGTTAATAAGAGATTTATTATACGACTGGAGTTCAAAGGGACACCGTGCGGTATCATTCGGGACGATTCGGGACAGTGCTCGGTCCAATACTGAGAGAATATTGACCGGCAATAGAGCATTTTCATTGGTTGATTTTAGTTATTGGCCCTCTGACTGCCCGAGTCGTGTAATAATGATGTAATATATGATATTTACATATGCCTCAAGCAGAATCGCTCATTAAGAAAGTAGAGAAACGCACGTACGCACACCGTCAAAACGTTATCACAGCTTCCCAGTCCTTTACTCTGCAAACTTTTTTATATATGTGTAGGTTAGATTATACTATGAGTAACATCTGAAATCGATTTTTGTTTTGGCCGTATAACACAACATGTTGGAATCAAATTTGATCTACAAAATTAAAGCGGAAGTTGAAAATAAAATATGCGAAGACTTGGCAAATAATTCTTGTGCTGAATTATTTGGAAATCAGTTTGTCTTCTTTGCTGTGTTGTTTAAGACTCACGTGATGTACTTGCACAATTTGAAGTAGCAATAAGTTTAAGGATACAAGCGTCTGTTTTGATAACAACCATGGAATATTCTAGACACGCGTTTGAATCTTTCGATCCGAGTAGAGTTTAATTTGCATAAGGAATTTATAAAGAACGGGAATCTGGAATACGGGACTAGACTGCAAAAACATTGAGGTGAATTGAGTATAGGGGAGCCGAGAAAGTCAGTTTCACAGCTTGTTCTCTGTGTAGGCTGTTATTGTTGCATTTGGTATGCGTAAGCAGGGGTTTCATTAAGGGGCCTGGGCACTGGGCAAATTGACCGGTTGTGAGGACGGTTTTGCCCACCTGATTTGACGGTCTGGAGGAAAGTTTATCTTATAGAGAAGTTCAGTTCAAAGAGTTTTGTCCGCCTGTGAAAACCAGTTGCCCTCCTGCAGAAAACTTTAATGAAGCCCCTGCGAAAGACCGAAAGGCATAGTTATAGTTTGACAAGTCATTTCAGTTGTCAATGTTGTGAATTATCCCAAGGCTGTTAACAGGCAGCCACTTTGCGCTATTGAGTAAGAGTAGCTTTGTAAATCATCAACAATCATTTTTGTCACCATGTAAAACTACAAATTTATTTCTCAGAATGCTTGAAAATGAAATTCTGAGAGACTCGCTTTGTGAACATTCCAAGTGTAGCATGCCCCCC